GTGAGCCGAGTGTAACCGGAGCCGTCGTGACATCATATGTTTCATGCCCGTCACACGGGGACGGACGGCCTCATTTCCCGGGTGGCCGATTTGAAGTCGACGGTGCGTTGCTTTGCGTGAAAATCAAAATGCGATGACATGGATGCAAAATGCTTTCATAAGATGTTGTCAAAATCCCCAAAGACCCCAAAAATAAAGGTCTGGTTTCCAGTTGGCGACTGTACAACCGCGACTCTCTGAACGCCGGCCCAAAGACAAGTTTCTACTTGTGGAAACGGATCATCCCTCAAGACAATTCAAGCAACTCACTGACATGAGAAAAGGTTCAATGAAGTTTGTGAGTCCAAGTCAAACAATGGGCAGAACGACGACCGTTTTGTCAAAAATCTTGAGACTCACGATGACAAAAAGTCACGGTTCACTGCACAAAGATGGAAAAAGTCCCTTTTAAGGTTCTGACTGATGTCGACATCGCGACATTCGTGTACGCGCGACTACAAATGTGCCCTCATGAGGCCGCATGTCACGGCCAAAATGAATTGCATTTGCCTCACCCGGTAAACCCACCTCAACCTTCACGCTTGGTTTGCATATCGAGGCACCGACGATTCTCTCCCTCGATCCTCGTTGTTTGCGCAGGCAGTTCCCTCCCCTCGGCTCGGGCGCGAGACGTCACGTAAACGAGCTGTGAAAAGGGGCTTATGTTCCGCATTTAACGTGGCGCACGCTAAGTGGGGTGGGAGGGGGGGGCAGATTTTCCCTTACTCGCGTTGTGAACAAACACTTTGTGACATTTTGCCGCTTTGTTCTTGAGCTCTCTTTTCAACTGTTGAGGGCAGGTGTCCGCCCAAGTGACGAGTGCGTCAATAACGCATCGCAATGGGTGACATCATCGCTAAAGCGCCGGCATGGGTCGAATGCTCGGGAGGGATGGAGGGGGGTGGGGGGAGGCGGGGGTCACATGCTTGACACCACCTTTGGCCTTGTTTGTGCGACCCTCCTGCGGTTCCGTAGCGAAAGCAAACAATGGGCCAACTTTCACCCCCAACCCCCTTGCCCTAAAAAGGTGACTTCATTGGAAATGAATCCTTTGACTTTACTTTCAAAATGCTGTCGCTTTGTTTAGTATTGTTTTAAAATGACAAATAAAGGTTTTCGTATCTTATCTTGATACAAACTTGATGTATGCGTGATGTCTATGTGAACCCTTCGTTTGAGGCCACCATTAGATGTTTTTTTTTTTTTGGCAATCCATAGCCAAATATAATGACAATGTCTCTCAAGAGAGCCCAGACATCCACCAAGGCCTGACTCTTCTTACTGTTTACAAGGGTGGGTGGGGTGGGGAATTCTCAAGTGTGATATTTGCGTTAGCCGGTCGCTTCCTGGTACGTGCCAATACGATTGGCGTGAAAGGGACTATTGATGCAATGAAAGGGGTGAAAACAACATCCCTTCACCCAAGTAGACCCCATTTGAATGAATGGCCGATTCTATTTTAAGGGTTCAGGCTGGAGGTTAAGCCCAACACCGCCCATCCGCCCGAGGGGGTTTTCTCTTCTTCCTGAAGAGGTCCGCAGGTGTCCAGAAGGGGATTTTTGGGGCGGGCTGCTTTGAAGATGCCCCCGCCTCACTCAGAGAGCGAGAGGGTCAATATTTGTGCAGGAGACGCGCAGACCAGAGGAATGCAGACCAGACGGGGACAGAAATAGCAACACAAAGTCCCGCATTTAGGTGGCACCGCAACTCATGACATCACACAGGTCACACGCGCGCACACGCTTGCACTCACTCGTACAACACCGCAAGCTCTTTTACTCACTTGTCCTCATGTACACATCCATGCAATTGCTCTCGCGCACCTTTTTGAAATGGCAAAAAGCGCTACCGCGTTGTCCTCTCGTTCTTGCTGGTGATTGCGCGGCATGTCATCCAGTAAAGCTCGGTTCTGCCTGGCACGTTGAGGCACAACACTGGAGGTGCGCAACTCCAAATTCGGACTTGCTTCTCCTGCAACACACCCGCACCCACACAAATGAGCACTTTGATCTCAGTGGAACACCCAGAAGGTTTTTTTTTGGAGATACCTGGATGACAGCGAATATGACGACATTTTAATTAGCCTTGCTAATAGCGCGCGGCTAGGTCACATACGGCCTCGAGACCAAAGTGTCGATATCCGCAACGGCTCCTTGATGCGTGCCTAATGAGCCCATCGGCGTCACAGCGCCGCATACCGGGGGGAGGAGTGCGGGCGAAGGGCGAGTGGACGCCCCTTGACGGACGGGCCATCTGTCATCACCTCTCAGAGTGTGTTGGCCAAAACACGGCGTGGGTGCATCACGTGCGGGTGCACCTGTTTGTTGTCGCAGTCGAATCAAGTGACTTTCCAACAGAGGTGGGAAGTACACCTTGGCAGACTTTGCTTTCACGCAATATTGCCTTTTGTTTTTTTTCGTACATTTTTAGGGCTTGCCACGGCACATCGAGAGATGAGTGACCCCTAGTTCTGACTTCTTTGATATGCAAGCCGTCAAGACGATTTTTGGTCTTGACTTGGGAGCAAAAATCTGGGAGCCGAGCAAACGGTTAGTTTACGACCAAATGACGCCAAAAGAATTAAGTTACGTCTGCTAGCTTGATGCTAACTCCTAATGTAAAATTATTTGAACTTGGACCGCAAGGCACCACTGTACTCACTGGAATAGCGTGGGAAAGGAGATCAAACATGTTTTTGGTTTGGTTTCGTTCATTCAGACTGTATTCTGCCCAGCGACAAGCGGCTGCAAGTGACCACCAGTCTATCAAAAAAAAAAAAAAAGACTGGCCTTAGTTTTCCCTCGTATTCGGCCCATGTTACTGTACGTTGTTGACGGCCTGCCATTTCTTTCCATAAATACTTACACGCAATATGGCCTGTTCAATTATGAATACGCCGCAGCTCTTCCTCAGGCCGAGCATCCATCGAGAGCCGCGTCGCCCTCGACCGTGCGGCCAAGCGCTCTTCTCCAGTGTTGACATTCTCCCAAATGGCCCTCGGCGTGGCGTGGCGACCGCTTCTCATGTGAATCCGGAGCTCCTCGGAGACCGCAGGATTCTCCTGGAGGGCAGAGTTGAGTCGATAGACATCATTTTCGCTTTGCCCGCCTCACCTGATGTGAGAAATCTCCCACTCCGCGGTCGAGAAGCGCCATCAATTATTCAAGCGGCTCACATGCGGACTTTCGAGGTACTCCCGCTCAATCGCGCGCCGCTCGGCGAGAGCATTTGACATGCAGCGAGACCGGCAGGCCCCCCTCGTATCGAGGTTACTCGAGGTAACAAAAACAAACTAAAATTGTAATATTTGTCGAATGTATGTATATGCAAAACCAAACAGGAAATCGGCCATTTGGAATTTCTTTTCAATAAAAGCTGCTGGAAGCGGACGCAGATCACATCGATTCTAATGAATGCATTTTGAAACAATCCCCTCCCAAATGCGTATTTAATGCAGAAAGCCGGAGACAAAAAGCAAAAAGAGCGCCATCTTCTGGCACGAGCGGGGCAGTCTCCCTCCCTGCCCCTCGTGCCACATTTGAATTGACTTGCGTCTGCGTGCCAGCTGCGGGTGCGAGTGTTCTCGGCGGTGTAAAATCCAGGTCAAGTGAGATGACACAAACCCACACATGTAAGGGGGAAAGAAAAAGAAAACGAGTGAGCGCGGTTGATTTCGCAGCTCTTTCAACAGCGTTTGCACTCTTAAGCTCTTTGACGCCTCACGCTCTCCTTAAATCCCCGACACGGATCCGTCAAACGTGAACACTTTGTTCCCCACGTCTTTCCTGCGCTTGGCTTTCAAGCGGCTTGCCGGGTGGATTGTCCAAGGCTACTTGGTCCAGAGAGGCCGGAATGGGACCCTGGACTGGTTGCCTGCCAAGCCGAGGTTACGTACAGACAAACCAGTCACACCTCTGGACAATCTTAAGGTTTGTTTGGGTTTTTTTTTTTTTTGCTGTGTTAAATCCACTCGGTTTGAAACAATACGTTAGTATCATGTAGCATGCGGTGCCCTGAGATACGAGTTAAATTTGTTCTTGCATCTTTCCAACCGAACTGATCGGAAACGCAATGAATCCGTTGCGGCGCCGCTACACAGAAATTCTTTGTACCCTCGCGCTCCATGAAAATGCAATCACATGATAAAACGGCCGTTTCTGGTTACAAGAAAGCTCTTTTGCCCAGATACAGCCAAGTGTGTGTGAGCATGTGCCTATAAGTACGTGTGTGTGTGTGTGTGTGTGTGTGTGTGTGTGTGTGTGTGTGTGGCACAGCGGGTGGGGTGGCGGTGTGTGTAGGGGGGGCAACTTGTTTACAGCTCACGCACGCTGCACGGAGCCCTCTCGACAGGGGAAGAAAGACAGCAGCGGCGGAACTCGACGGGGCCAAAGTGCACCGGCGGATGGGATAAAAATACTGCCGGTGAGCGGCTTCAACAAGCCTTGCGGGCTTTCAAGCATCACTATCCGATGCCATCAGTCCGCTGCACTTAAAAGTAGGTTCAACCAAATCTCTGTAATATGCAAATCCACACACACACACACACACACACACACAACTTTGTGAACTATTGGATTTAACTTGGTAGACGTTATCTTGAAATAGCCCGCAGTTGCTACGCACCGACCATGTGCAATCCATTTTCCGAAAGGGAACATATGAGGGAAAAATGGATTTTGATACAAATAGATGTCGGTGAAATAAAACATCCAACTAACTCTTTTGTTAGTCCGCAACAGTGCAGCTCATTTTCATCATTAGCCGCACCCGGCGTATCCTCACCGATGATCCCTCACCACTAACTTTTGAAGCGATGACTACACTGTTTGCAGGTGCTATATCCACACGCTGTACTGCCCTGAACAAATAAACCACATTTGTTGATGTCATTTTATCCCTCCCACACGCATGAAATACACTTGATCAGTGTTCCTTCGTGCCTGTTCTCACTGTCACCTGGAGGAAATTCCAAATCCAAACAGGAGGCAACAAAGCTTCACAAAAGAGGCGACGACGGCGAGGCTGTGCGGTGAAGTCACCTTATGTGACTCGCTCCTCAGGGTGACCAACGCATCAAGGGACACGCTGCAAAAAAAGGAGCTCCGCAGCCTTGATTGGTCTCAGTGGGCCACGGTCAGCCGCGGATGGGTTGGCAGGGTGGGGGGCATAACGTACGCCGAAATGAAATGCTTTGCATTATGGAACATCCTGCACACGTCGACCCGCGACCTCTGGCACCATCCGCGGGAAAACGCTGCTTTGAAGCGGCAAAAACGAGGCGAGCGCAGCAGCGCGACGCCCACAGATTCAAACCCCCACAACGGAGCACATGACACCCACGCACGTTTAAAGAGTCTGGCGGGTTGCGGCGATGAGTGCCGTTGCGGCGAGGCGCGGGCGGGGCTTAGAAGCTGAAAAGAAAGAAATGGGGCGGGGCGAGTGTACAAGAATGACATCACCCGCCCTGAAATGTCACCATTATCTAAAGTCTTGGCTTAGCTGACTACAGGGGTGACATCATCGCTCCCGCAGGCCCCTCCCCAACGCGCTTTGTCTGAGGTGGGCCGTTTGTTTGTGCGCCAGCGAGAAGCGCGCACACATGCAGCGCGGCGGGTGAGCGAGCTCTTTCCATGGAGAGCGCACGTTTTGCCTCCGCGCCTTCTTTCCTGCCTCGACGGCTCACAAAAAAAAAAAAAAAAAAAAAAAAAAAACAGCTCTGGTGACCGTATAGCGTCGTCCCCCTTTCATGTCCCCCGCAGTTGATGAAAAGCTGACAAGCGCCAATCATTTTGATTTCGCTCTGCGCATGGGGTCGGCCAACATCTCAATGAGAAGCACCGTCATTCAAAAAGCGTGGAAACCAAAAAGACAGAAGCGACGACGACCCTGCTGCTCAACTCGTATGACCTCGATTTGTGTGGTTTTGAACTCATTGCACATTCTCAAAAAAAGAAAACTTCAGAAGCGATAACATTTCGTGTTTCGTGTAATCAATCCTCCATTACGAATAAGTCCTGCCAACAACGTAGCAGCCGTGGCTAACGTTGACTTGTTTACAGTGCTAATGGTAGCTTAGCATTGCTCATGCTGCTTTTTTTTCGCAGCTCGATTTATATTCTCGGTGACTATTTTTGGCAAGTACACGCCTTCATAATTGTATGCTATGAATGGCATTGTTGATTCTTTCTGGAGGGGGGTGGTGGTGGGGGGGGGGGCAACCACTTTTCCAGTGTACTCTCATTTGCGTCTGTATACGGAAGCTGTTGAATGGAATGCATAAGGAAGTTGTCGAGTTATCGCCGCAACTACTGTGTCAAAGTGCAAATCCCCACCCATAAGAGTGTCCGCCTTGGGGAAATCCCCATATATGGTGCGGACTATTATCACCGACAGCCAATTGGGCGCGGGTATTCAGCGGTGCACATCTGAGGGCTGTTTAGAATGTCACCCGACACACACCTGATGCGAGTCACAACCATAAAAGGTGAATTCAGTTTTACAGTCAACTTTAAAGCTGTGTGCCAAATAAACAAATGAGCGCGCAAGCACGCTTGGATTCTTAATTGGACACCTACCCCGTGTGAGAATCTTCTTTTAGTTTCCTCAAAGTGATGCGATCCAAACGTTTCCCATTTCTTGACAGCGAGAGAGGAGAAAGAGGCAATTTGTAATGCAAATAAATCAACAAACAAATCAAGAAATAAAAAAACTTCTGCTTGTGGTGTTTGGGTTATTTTTATTTTGAATGATGCAGTCTGACGTCACACACCTCTTCAGCCATGCGCATCGCCCAGCAGCTGGCGGTGGTTAAAAAAGCAGCCAAGCATGGCGGCCGTGTCATCAAGGCCCTTCGATACGTGTCCAAACAACCCCCGGGGGAACCGCTTCGCTCCACGGCAACGGGTTCAAGTCGACTATCTGAGCCTTGACCCCTCACGACTCCATTTTCAGGAGAAGCCTCTCACCTCGCTGATGTCACTGCAAAGGGGGGCAAATGTTTCAAAACATTTCTTGAAAGGTATGTGACACAACGTTAATTCAGAAGATGTGAGTCCCCGCCCCCTCCAGCGCTCAAAAGCTATCACAATTTTCACCCGGACATTTTGAAAACGTTCACCCGTTCTTTTCCTTACTGCTCCTCAATCCGGTTTACGGTGGGCCCTTTCACACCCTCGTGTCTTGCCGGCGCTCAATCCGGCGGTAACCGAATGGGCAAAGGTTGCTAACGTTTCCTTTCAAGAGAGATTTGGTGCGTCACGCTGCATCTCTTCGAATGAGGACAACTCTCCAAGGGGCATTTTCCGAGAGCAATGCAGCACATATTGCTCATGCCACGACCCGCCAAGGGCCGAGTTGAACCGGGCGGGCCTCACTCCGTCCGTCATACGATTTGAGGACACGCACAGTAAGGTGGAGTGGTGTTGGCTGAGGGTTTGGGATGTGGAAGATGAAAGCATTCCACCATGGCAGCCCTGGCAGCTTTCGGGTGGGGTCGGCGGTCGTTAAGGTGGGCCGGCTCGGGCGAGCGTGGCTTTTCTAACGCTGCATTCCGCCGCAGCAGTCCCCCTAAAAATAGCCGAGCTATGTCCCACCCAAAATGTCTCGTGGCGATAGTTACATGGTCAGCAGAACCATCAGTTGTTCTGCAGGGAGAGGGAGTGAGGGGGAGTGGGGGGGCATTCAAGCTGGTGGAAGAAAGCCTTACATGAGTGGCAATCTCAAAGCACCACTTGTCCATTGATTTAGTTTCGGGGCCCTCCTGTGGAAGGAGAGCAAATCGCAACTCAAGCTCAACAGCCGGGACGAGGTCAATTCAAGCATAAATGGAAAATTCGATCAAATGACCTGGTGTGACATCAACTGACATTGCGACATGGCAATGTATGGTTCAGAGATTCCCAATTTTTTTTTTCTTTTATGTGGGCATAGTTTTCGCGCTCCTGCTTGCTTGATGCGTCTCGCTAACACGAAACGGGAGACTATTGTCATGCATGACTTGGAGAACGTGCAACAATCAAGACTCTCTCGCTCGCAGTTCTCCGAATAAGAGGCAAGGTGCGCTCTCTTCAAACTGCTCGTCACTCCCAGTGTACAAAAGTGACTTCTCAAGTCCAAAACGTTTCACCGATATGGTGTCGCGGTCCACTCACCTGACGATGTGGATGTCGTTCGTTTCTATATGTTGCCCGCGACAGTTATGGGTGTCGTCCGCCTGACGCCCGAAGTCATCCGGGATGAGCTCCAACAAGGCCGGCCGGGATCCTATTCGGGATGAGCGGTGTTGACAAAGGATGGATGCATGGATGGATGTTTTCTTTCACCCAACAGGTCCGCTAGCTTAATGCTATTAGATGGTCTGAAATGCTACTAATTGGCTCCGCTGTTATGGCCATTCTGAACCTTCAAACCGCTGCTACTTTGGCACACACACGGAGCAGCAACACATAAAGTGAGCGCCTGAACAATATTCCCTAATACAATACGGGCAAGTTGCGCCGGTGCGTCGTGCTTAGTACACTGAAGGCGCCTCGGGACTTGCCTATAAAAAGAATGGGCGGAGGATCACTTGAATTCGTCTCCCAGCTTCACGTTTTGCATCAATATCCCGAGCCTTCTTTTAGTAACTGAAAAAGACTTTTGTTTTTAACGAGAGCAGCGGCGGCCTTGCCGCGAGTGTCGGAGCG